TGCCATTCTTTTTTGGTACCACGACTGTGTTGGAAATCCATATGGGGTAATGTACCTCTCCGATTGCTCCTGTCTCCAACAGGTTTCCCACTTCTTCTGCCACTATTTCGGCGTGGTGGAGTGCCGATCTGCGAGTGCGCTGAATGATTGGTCTGGCGGATGGGTGGACATTGAGTTGGTGACAGATGAAGTTTGGATCGATGCCTGGCATGTTGTATGGTGTCCAGGCGAACACTTCGATGTTAGAGGTCAGGAATTCCAAGACCTCTAATCTCTCAGTGCTGGACAACGACAAACCGAGTAAAAAGAACTTATCCGGGTTCTTATCATCTATTCCTACCTTTACCAAGTCTTCCACCACTTTTTGATCAGCTGCTTTGCCGACATCTGCGAACAGTTCATTGCTCTCAAGTTCTTCCATCGAATGAACATATCCCTTGGCAGCGCGGCTGCCATTAATCGTGACAAAGCATTACTTGGACATAATCTGGTCTCCAAAGACCTCTTCAATTACTCCGGCTCCGTTGGGAAACCGCATTACGTGATGATAGGATGACGCTACTGATTTCATGGCATGGAGCCATGTTCTTCCCAAGATTATGTTGTAAGTGGAAGGGACTTTCAACACCCAAAATTCCACTTGTTTTGTCGTGCTTCCTGCCCTGACTGGCAGGATAATTTTGCCAACTGGCCATTCTAGCATTGAGTTGAATCCAATCAAGGGGGATACAGTCAGTGTCAGGTCTTTGTCCTCCAATTTCAGTTGTTTGAAGGTGTCGTAGTACATTATCTCACACGAGCTACCTTGGTCTATCAAAATTCGCTTGACGTCGTAATCCTTGACGCGGAGGGTGACGACCAGTGCATCGTTGTGAGGGCAATATATTCTTTCCAAGTTCTTGTCTGAAAAAGACATGACGTTCGTAGGGTTTGTTCTCCCCTTTTTGATGGTAGGTTGAGCGCTTAGTACTTCTCTTAAGTGCTCAGCCTTCTTGATCGATCCTCTGAGCTTGCATACACGCTCAGGTTCGAATACTCCATGTATTACATTGATCACACCTTGAGGTGGGGCGTCAATTGGCATTCCATTGGGGTTATTGTGGTCCTGGGGGGCTGGTTGCGTCCCTCCTTCAATGTATTTATCCAGGTGACCGGCAGCCACCAACTCCTCCAGATGTTGTTTCAATGGCATGCAATTTTCAATGCGGTGCCCCTTTTCTTTGTGGAAGGTGCATCGCGATCTTTCGTCGTAGTCTTTCTATTCTTTTCCTAGCTTAGCTGGCCATCTGACGAAAGGTTCATCGCGTATTTCGCTCAGAATCTGGTAGATCGATTTCTTGAATACCGTGGTTATGGCAGTGCGGACGCTCAACCATCTTTTATCCTGGTCCTCTCCGTTGTCTCGCCTGCCTCGTCCGTTTTTGTTCGGACGTTCTACCACGTTGATCTTTGTTGTGGTCTTTTTATCTGGTACTGCAGTCGTGCCAGATTTTGTTTTGGCACGGGCGCCATCCTCTTCCACCTTGATGTCCTGATGCACTTTTTCCATCAAGGCCTCCATGGTGAGGGGCGGTGTCATAATGATCGAGTCCCTTAGTCTGTTTCTGACTGGAAGGCCTCTTTTGTACTGTGCAATGGCGAGATTGGTGGGACAGTCCCCAATCTGGTTGAATGTCTCCCAGTAACGACTATTGTAGGATCTTAGTGTCTCTTTTTCGCCCATGTCGATGGAGAGTAACTAGTCAATCTCTACCGGGGTTTTGGTGTTCGTTCTGAACCTCGTAACGAACGCCTCCGCCAATTGAGCCCAGGAGGCTATGCTGCCTTCTAGAAGTTTTTCGAACCAAGTCAAGCCTAGGTCACCAAGGCTTGATGGGAAGAGGATGCACATCAAAGCCTCGTTTCGCCGATATACTGCCATAACTTGGCGGAAGTGGCTTAGGTGTATGTAGGGGTCCGTCTTCCCCTCGTATGTGGTGAATTTGGGTTGAAGGAAACCTGAAGGAAGGGACGCGTTTTCAATTGCCGGAGCGAACGGCGAGGTCTGCAGCCTTGCTAATGCTTTGTCCGTTGGTTCGTAGGTAGGGCGTGGCAGCGACATTCCGACCTCGACGCTTCCATGCGTCCGAGGAGCCAGCCGCTGAAGGGCAGATACCCTGCGAGGGTTGCGTGCCCTAGTATCCTCCTTCCATCGTGCCTTTTTTTCCAACATGTTCTGCGAATCGGACGATCTTAGTAACTCCGTCTGCCTGGATGATGTCTGGTGCGAGCGCGAAGGTTGATAGGTACTTCTCTCCATGTAAGACCTCAATGATCTCGTTCTCTCAGACCTGGAGAAACGAGTTCTGGAGGTTCTGGATTGAGTATCACCTGTCCTGAGGCTTCTACTCTCTACTTGTGATTGTGTGGAATGCCTTCCACGGTCTTCTGAGCGGCGAGGGGGCGTCTTGCTTTTGCGCCCCTCTCCTGTCGTCACTCATTTTCTCTTCATCTGGCGTTTCAAGGCCTCCATGTCCGCCGCCATCTTCCTTATTAATTCATCTTGCTCCTTCACGCGATCCTCCAAAACTTGAGGATCAATCCTCCTCCTTTGTCTGTCAGGACTTCGTGAACGAGAGTGACGGGGGCTGTTAGTTCGCCTCCTCCCCCTTGTATCCCTCCTGGGATTTTGTCGCTGTAGCTCTAAGTCCGCCATGGGAGGGATAGAAGGTAGGCCATCGCGTCTTGCACCCCCCTCTGGTGTTTGTCTGTCGATGGCGGACTACGGCAAATCTTCGTTGTGCGCCATTGCTTCTAAAGAGGAAAAGTTTGATCAAGAGGTTTTGTCCCTGTCTGAATTCTTACAGACGGCGCCAATTGTACGGGAAAAAGATAAACTTTTTCGTATAATCCTGTTGATCAAGTCCACATTCCTCCAAACGTCGTCGCTTTTCTCTCTGAAAACACAAACGTGAGCTAGCCGGCGGGTGTGTGTCGGAAACCCCTCCGATGCCTAAGTCAGCAAAATAAACAAGTAGACAAAAGCTCTGCGTATTCAGGAATCAAAGTTGTGTTACTTCTCCATAGGTGATGTTTGTGAGCTTTTATAGGTTCCGTATGGCGCAATCCAAGTAGGACTCTACTCCTCCATACAAAGTCCTCCTAGGATTCATACTCCTGAAAGATAATGCTTATCCTTCAACACCCTCCTCACTGCTTGAACCAAGTGAGATGGTTTTACCATGGTCAGACTTCTATGGGACCGAAATACCATTGCCTTACTAGATATGCAGGTATGACAGATCTAACTTTCAGTCCGGTTATTCTTTTCCTTGTTTCTTCCTCGGTTTCGCATGCCCAGACCGAGCTATCCATAGAAGTGTCGAACCAAACTAATCACAGAAGAATCTTGAAGAAGGCTTATCATACTTCGGTTTAGAAGATACGACCAAGCTAACTGTAATATGCTACGACCGGACTACCTCCGAGGGTGGTGACCCAGCGACCGAACTGCCGCGCTCTCACGGACCGAGATAACAATGCACTTCCGGGACCGGTCTTAACTTTAAGTCCTGCTTGGACCGGACTGGATTTGAGACCTTTTTACTCAGCCCTTCGTACTGTAGCCCATAACGGCCCATTGTCCAGCTCGGCCCAATATTCATATAAATTACCCTCTCAGGACATATCTAATGTTTCACCAATTTTTTTCATTGAATTAACATTTAATGATAAAATACTAGAAAGTGAATTCTAGTTATTTCATTAAACTTGCATTGATAAATTATCTTCCCGCAAATATTAGAATCTTGCACGGAAGATAACTGAATTTAGGATCTAGGGTTTAAATTGAAATTTCCCCGCAAAGATTTAAATCTTACATGTACTATGTAAGAAAATTGAGGGATTCATCAAACTAAATTGAATCAAATTTTCAACTAAATTTGAACTCAAATTTGACAGAATTTTAAAAGGAGTAAAAATTGGGAATGAATTTCTGTAATAAAAAATATTAAAACATTCTTAAAACAGTTAAGTTTTTAGGATTTTTTAAAAAGATTTCATGAAAAAAAGAGCAAAGATTGGAGTCTTGCATAGCCAAGCTTTTAATCAAAATTTTTTAATGAAAAAAAGAGAGTAAAAAGTAAGGATTGGAAATGTGCTAACAACTAAATGCATGTGATTCTTAATTTTCCTCTGTTTTCCCTGCAACCAAGTGAAGGTCAATGGATTTGCTGCAAGTTCTGTTTTTCATAGTTCAGAAACAAATTTCTTTTTATTTATTTATTATTATTTCACCCATTTCACAGCAACCAAACAAAGGGTTTTAGCAAATTAACAGCAAATTTACTCATAAATCGATTGGTTCCCGACAAAATGGAAGTCCTAAAATTTGGAAAACAATTTGCATTTGAAAGCATTGACTTCTCGATTGTATTCTTTCTATTATCTACATAGCATTCATTCAAAATTAAGCTTCCTTAAGTTTCCCCTGTTTTCTCAGCAACCAAACAAGGGACGAATTTACAAGGTTTTCAGTTCCGAAGTTAGCTAAGTACTTAAGTTTGATATAACAGTTCCACTTATAATCAAGTTCGCGTTTTCGTATTTCAGCTCATTTTCTCAGAACCCAAACAAAGATATATACATATATATATATATACTAACATGTGAGCACACGCAATGTGTATGCAATAAGAATAAAAAAAATTAATATCATAATATATGTATATTGGGTATGTGGTAAGAGCACTCTTAATTAAACTTTAAAGTTTTAGGTTCAAATCTTACACGTAGCAGACAGAAAAGTTACCAAATCTTTAGACACCAAGTTCATTGCTCACATATATAATATATATTAAAAGATATATAATAGTATAGATATATTACTATTATAATAAGCATAATTCAAAAGAATTTGGCAATTTTCTGAGCAACCAAACATGGGTAAACCCTTATCAGTCTCAATTGAATTGAATATATTGCTAGAAAGATTATTCATATATACAAGTGTATAGTACCTTCGTTTTAGGTGCCATGGCGAGAAATCTTGAAGCTCTTTTGGCGGGAAAGAATTGACGAAATCGGGACTTGGCGGGAAAGAAACTACTGTGCTCGACGTTATGACGAAGATAAGCAGTTGGCGAAGCCGTTGTCATTGCCATTTGACGAGAGGAGTTTTATCAGAATTTTTCCGGAGGAAATTTTTCTTGGTGAATTTTCTTAGGTTCCAAACACCTTTTTCTGTCTGTAATCTTAGTGTCGACCAATCAAAAGGGATGTAGCCCTATCTGACAAAATTACACGTTATCGTTTGAGTACAGATGACATCAAATTACATATTTAACCCTTTGCGGCTCTTCTAACGGGTTCTTTGGAAAGTTTTAAATTGACATAGTTTTTATGTTACTTGCTCGTCCGAAAAGGAGGGACACGCATGGCGTAAATGGGAGTTTGGCGATCATTCGCCCGGCCGTTCGGACGATCGGATGAAAGATTGTTTATTATTGTTGTTATTTTTATCGATTGTGGCTATCAACTTTCTCACTAGATGACCGGCTGTTCAATCGGCGTCGGCTCAAACGACTGATAAGGTGTATTTTGAACCATTCGAGTCACCTCATATTCGAATTATCAAGCATTGCTCATTTTTTAATTTCAATAATGATTGAGACCCATTTTTTTGGGCACCTTTACAATCTCTTTTGAATCTCAACCATTGATGGCGTAGGTTTCACACATATATGAGTGAGGTTTCACACATACATCAATGGTTGAAATCTAAAGGAGTTGTGAGTATCCCAAAAAAAGGGTCTCTCAAGAATTTTTCTTTTGATTTTTTATGAAAAAATATAAAATATAAGTTGGGGTTAAAGTGATATAGTATACAGATGATGTGATCAAAATAGATAATTGTGACTCAAATAAAATAATGTATTAGGATAACATGTGTTATTTTGGTACATACCAAACAACACCTAAGTAAAATTGTAAAGTGTATGATTAAATTCAAAATATAAATATTAAATATTTTATGAATCTAAAACGATGATTGGTTGAGAGAAATTTTTTTAAGAAGAAAAAATTAAGCTATAACTACTGCTTTTATGTTACAATAATGCTAGAGAGCCACAATTTTTGTGGCCACAATAACTCAAAACTGTCAAAACGACGTCGTTTTGGCATATTTTGCACCAAAAACGACGTCGTTTTGACAGTTTTGAGTCATTATGGCCACAAAAATTGTGACCCTCAAACATTTTCTTTTATGTTATTGCCTTTATAGACATTATTAGAATAAAAAAATGTGACATCGAGGGATTATTTGGTATGACCTAAAAAAATATGTTTTCTATCTTTTTATTTTTTAGGTCACATCATTTTTATTTTTCTGCACATTTTTTTTTGGAGAAATGACTCATAGCTCGAATTTCCTCTGGCTCGAATGGCCCGAACTGCCCAAAACGACGTCGTTTTGGGCAGTTCGGGCCATTCGAGCCAGAGGAAATTCGAGCTATGAGTCATTTCTCCAAAAAAAAATGTGCAGAAAAATAAAAATGATGTGACCTAAAAAATAAAAAGATAGAAAACATATTTTTTTAGGTCATACCAAATAATCCCTCGATGTCACATTTTTTTATTCTAATAATGTCTATAAAGGCAATAACATAAAAGAAAATGTTTGAGGGTCACAATTTTTGTGGCCATAATGACTCAAAACTGTCAAAACGACGTCGTTTTTGGTGCAAAATATGCCAAAACGACGTCGTTTTGACAGTTTTGAGTTATTGTGGCCACAAAAATTGTGGCTCTCTAGCATTATTGTAACATAAAAGCAGTAGTTATAGCTTAATTTTTTCTTCTTAAAAAAATTTCTCTCAACCAATCATCGTTTTAGATTCATAAAATATTTAATATTTATATTTTGAATTTAATCATACACTTTACAATTTTACTTAGGTGTTGTTTGGTATGTACCAAAATAACACATGTTATCTTAATACATTATTCTATTTGAGTCACAATTATCTATTTTGGTCACATCATCTCTATACTATATCACTTTAACCCCAACTTACATTTTATATTTTTTCATAAAAAATCAAAAGAAAAATTCTTGGGAGGCCCTTTTTCTGGGACCCCCACAACTCCTTTAGATTTCAACCATTGATGTATGTGTGAAACCTCACTCATATATGTGTGAAACCTACACCATCAATGGTTGAGATTCAAAAGGGGCTGCCACAATAATTTAGGTAAGATGAATATGTATTTTGAAATGTCATCGGTCGTCAGTACCAAACAGTTCAGTCTATTACTGAAGCTTCTCTCCTATTAGTTTAGTGCCCGTTTTGCATGGGCCAAAAAAGTTGCGTCTTGGCTAAATAAGCCAAAAAGCAAGTCTGTTTGTCTTGAGCTAAAAAAACAACTGAAAAAGCTTAAAGACCCAACTTTTCCACTAACAAAAGTAACTTTTTTAGCAATTATCAAACGCATCAACTTTTTTAGATTATAAAAAGCAAAAAAAGCAATTAAAAAAACAATTGCCAAACTCCACATTATAATGTAATAATGTTAAAAAAAACTCCTAAACAAGGTAGAGGAGGGGGAAGGCAGTGAGAGGAAATGTATTTTTTGTTTTGCTACTTCCTACTCTCTCAGGTACTAAGAAAATTCTCTAAGCCTTACAGATTATTTACAAATTGTCCCAACAGAGACGTGTGTTTTTCACCTTTGAGTGAGGAGAGTGTTTTGTGTAGAGTCTTATTGTATGTGTCGAGTCTGTAAACATTTCATATTTTTTCACCTTTGAGAGATGTTTTGGTAATAAATAATCTGTATTTTATTTATTGGTTGAGAAAATAGCCTAAATCAAGTAAAATGATTTTGCCAAGAAAAGGACTTACATATGATTTCTTTAAGAGCAAAATGTAAAGTTGATCTAAGTTATTTTCATCAAGATTTTCCTTTGCACATTTTTTGTTTATCTTTTTTTTTTTTTTTTTTGGTTTTATTTTTTGTGATTTTTTGACTTCTTTAGAAGTTAAAGCTATTAAAGTAGTTATTTTTTGCAAGTAAAAAAATTGATGTTGCATTTAATTTTTTAAAAAATAGCTTAATGACTTTTTAATAAAAAAACAAAAGACAAAAATCGACTTTTTTTTGATCTTATAACAAAAGCCCAATAAGTAATGGGCTTCGTAAGATTTAAGTTAGGGAATCTGGGCTTACATACCGCAGTTCTCCCGTTGGGGTATATGGGTTCGGGTATTGATTTAATTTGATAAAATAAATAAAAAATTGATATTTTAATTTTTTATAAAAAAATATGCCTCTTAAAAGAGAAAATCATATGAAAATAATATTTTTTTTTTGTTATTTTTTATATACTAAGCTATTCTTTGAAAATTTTTAGAAAACATATTCTGGAAACTCAACTAAATTATTTTAAAAGAAGTGGATAATAATATCTAAAAATTATATTTATCATTCATTTTTAAAAAAATTATAAATGTGACTAATATCAATTTTTGTGCGGATTACCTACATATGGGAAATTATAAATTTAATTGTTTAGATTATCGAAACAAGGTAAATGGTGAGCTAACGGACGTGAACTGGGCCAGTCCAACCCACTACGTGGATTAGAGACAAGCTAATCTGTAATTTTATGTACGACAATGCTAGGTAGTTCAAATTTTTGTGGCTCAAATGGCTCAAATCTGTCAAAACGACGTCGTTTTACACTTAAAATCTGTCAAAACGACGTTGTTTTGACAGATTTGAGCCATTTGAGCCACAAAAATTTGAACTACCTAGCATTGTCGTACATAAAATTACAGATTAGCTTGTCTCTAATCCACGTAGTGGGTTGGACTGGCCCAGTTCACGTCCGTTAGCTCACCATTTACCTTGTTTCGATAATCTAAACAATTAAATTTATAATTTCCCATATGTAGGTAATCCGCACAAAAATTGATATTAGTCACATTTATTATTTTTTTAAAAATGAATGATAAATATAATTTAAAAATAGACCCTTTTTTTTATAGAAAATAAATATAATTAAATCAAATGATTATATTATTAGATCAAATTGACTTTTTGTGATAATTTAGATATACAAATTATAAAATCAATAATTTAAATCAATGAAACGAGATTCATAATTAACCACGGTTTAAACTCGACCGGCCCATAGAAAGGTAATCGTGTAAATGTAGCATCAATAGTTCCAATGTAATGAAAATTGTTAGATAAACTGACAAAAATTCTCATTTACTAAAGTTGTCAAGGGAAAAACGGGTATTGGCACATCATTGATTACGTTGTTTATTATAATTTGTATTTCATGAGTTTGACACATAAAAATAACTTGTCCACATGTAGAGATAAACTTACATATATTTTAATTCTTTTTAAATTTCACAATGATAAAGAAAAGAAAAAAATTATAATAAAAAATCTAAAATTTGACCTTCATAATAAAATAAATATTTTATTTTTGATTTTGTCAATTTAAATTATAATATTTTGATTTGTTTTCAATTTAAATCATTAGGCTGTATTTGGTTCAAGAATTTAGAGAGGGATTTATAAAGGGAAATGAAAAATATAGGCGAAATGTGAATAAAATATATCTATCTTTTATCTAATTTCACATACCTTTTTCCTTTTTGTTTTTAAATCTCTCCCCAAATACATGAACCAAACACAACCTTAGTTTATTTTTATCAAGTAAAATTGACCGAAAAGAAGTATTTTTATCATTAAAATCAATGAAAAAAAATATATTGTAGACATTTATGTACACATACATTGATTTAATGGCTCAATATTTTTTTTCATTGATTTTACTTGACGAAAATAGATAAATAATTCAAATTGAAAACAAATCAAAATTTTGATATTTAAATAGACAAAATTAAAAACTCAAATGTTTATTTTATTATAAGAGTCAAACTCTAAAAAAAATAAAAAATAAAAAAATTGATTTTTCTTTTGTTGTTGTAATTTTACCCAAAAAATGAATCTTGTAGGCATACATCTCTGTGGTTCCCCCGCTCCCATCCCGCTTCCTCATCGGGCAGGGAAAATTCATGTGGGAAGAGGCAGAGGGATGCAGGGGCGGAGGAAAATGGCCATCCTATAGACAAGTACTAACTTCGGTTTTGTAGATGTACATTTTAGCAGTTTATCCTAGTCTATTTTACGGGGTCTCATTTCTAGAGATATTCTGGAGGAAGTAATCTTCTCATATTGGTTGTGTGGTCAAATT